TTTCCCGTACCAAATTTCTCCTCACGATAACCGTGGAGCTGCCGGTATCTCTTAACACCGTAACTTTTTTGCCCGCAACTTTTCCAGGCCGCGCTGGCATTCCTTTCGTAACACCGGTTGGCTGTTTTGACATTACAGCACCGACAATAGGAATTTTCTCTCCATTTTTCAATTCTACGAATCCGTCGGTGACGGCATTATTATCAGATTTCGGTGCCGCTTGAACACAGGATACCTGGTGAGTTTGACTCACTCCGTTCCGACAAGCATCTGCTTTGTGTCCGGTCTGACCACACTTAAAACATTTCACTACCGTAGGGCTCGTAAAGATCGTTCGACAGTTTTTCGCGCGATGACCCACTCGGTTGCACAAAAAACACCGCGGAATGCTCTCTGGTGCACGCTTCTTTTCTTCGGGAACCAATTTCTTCGAATCATCAGGACACTCCTTCTTGACCTTTGCCAAATTAGTTCCTCCTTGCGCTTCTAAGAATTGATCAGCCAATTCAAGCATTCCTTCAAATGACTCCGCCTTCCTTTCTTTCAAATACAGCGACAGGCTCGGGTGGCAACTAGTAAGAAATTGTTCTCTAATTAGGAGCTCTCTAAGCTCATCGTACTCCTGCGCTGTCCCTGAAAGTTCAATCCATCTGTCGAAATAATGGCAAAGTCGGGCGGCATACTGCGTAGCCGTCTCACCATCAGCTGGCTTTCCTGTCCGAAACCTGTCCCGGAATCCTTCCACAGTGAATCTAAATCGCTTCAGCAAAGCAGCTTTCACCTTTGCATAGTTGGCTGCATCGGTCGGCGTCAGCCTACCGTACACACTGAGCGCTTCACCACTCAAGCAAGTACTCAGAGCAGTTGCCCATTGATGTTCCGGCCAATTCTGGCTCTTCGCAATCGTCTCGAATCTGTGGAGGTACGCGTCTAGGTCGTCCTTCCTTTCATCAAACGCTACGAGCAACTTGCTTGGGTTCAAGCGGAAGCCGTGATCTTCCCGTTCGCTGCTTTCAACTCTAGCTTGGACGGGAGTTTCACTTCGCTGTTGCAAACGGAGCCGCTCGAGTTCCATCTCGTGCTGCCGCTGCCGCTCCCTTTCCTCTCTTTCTTCTTTCAGCTGGCGCTCTTTTGCTTCTCTTTCTTCTCTCGCCCTTTCAGCTGCCAACTTCTCTCTCTCCAACTCAGCTGCTTTTTCTTGCTTGGCCCTCTCTGCTGCCAACCTCTCTCTCTCCAACTCAGCTTCTTTTTCCGCTTTGGCTCTTTCGACCGCCAACCTCTCTTTTTCCAGCTCGGCTGCTTTTTCTTCTTTGGCTCTCTCTTTTTCTTCTTTTTCCTTCTGGGTGACCCACTTCCGTAATTCGGCGCCAGAAAGACCCATCTTTTCACCAAGAGCAACTAACTTTTCGAGATCCATTGTGTCCCGCAACTCGCAACTAAAACCTTGCCGCGTGCAAAAAGTATCTGCCTAAATCAGTCTATCGGAACACTCCCCTGCACTCGTTAACGAGAACACTGAACAACACACAAAATCGTTCCGATAGCACTATCAACAACTCGAGGCTCTTTCTCACTACTTTGGACAAACTGTGCACCAAAAGGTCCTGTCGCGGACGCCAGATTAATTGTCACACCTGTCCCGTTAATTAGGGAGGCGATCGCCGGGCTAATTCCAAGGGCCGAAATATTGGCCCCCCGAACCGCACCACGAAAGCGTGGACAATTTATAAGTGGTCCTTTTTGGCGCGCCAGCAGACGCCGGTTGTGGCCCAAAGAACAAGTCAGAGCCGAGAGTTGATAAACAAAACAAATACTATATTCTCAAAAATGGCAGATCGAAAACAAACACAAGAATGCACACTCCACAATAGTTACATACAATACGTCACCAAACAAACGACGTACTACACAGTACAATCAACCACACTTGAAACAACGGACACAGACAACAATACGCACTACAATGCAGTCGCATGCATTGAACAACCAAGACACTTAAAGACTAAAGAGATATAAAACCTATTCAGTCCGAAGTCCTTGGAACAAAAGTCTGAATGATACTCTTCCGAGAATCACTCACTCAAAGTCCAGCGTTGTTGTCGTTCCGCGCCCTCGAAGTTTCTCTTCCAGGAAACCTCCCGTCTTCAATTGGCCACTCTTCAAACTTCAACGTCTTCTTCGCCGGAAATCCGTCGGCTTCACACACGCAGCTGTTGCCCGCGTCTTCGCTCGATAGCGGTAAACCCACGCTCTTGCCTGTAGCTCGAGCCGTCCCTACGGACCAAAAACTTCGCCGACTACACGGCGGACTCTCTACGCACTCTGGCGCTCACTTCCGTCTCCTCCTGATCTGTCACTACGGGCAGAACCTTCGCCGACTACACGGCGGAATTCCTACGCGCTCTGGCGTTAACTTCCGTCACCTCCTGATTTCTCGTCTCGGCTGCTCGGTTAAATACCTTGCGCGCGACTTTCCAGATGTTTCTCGTCATTTCGTCGGCGCGATACGCAGCGAAGGCTGGGGAGAGGCACGAGACGGTTCGACTGCCCTCTCCGGAGGATGATTCACTCGGTCTGACCCCGCCTCCTTCGTTCGAGAAAAATCGCGGCCTTGCTGGGCCGCCGATGTGGGGTGAGGAGGATCGTCTGCGAAGCCGTGCTTCTGCGGGGAGAGCGCGCGCCCGGGGAGCCCTGGATGTTGGCTTTCTTTTTTTTTCTTCTTTTTTACCTCGCGGCGTTTCTGCCGCCCGTTGTCGCAAGGATTTGGCGGCGCGCTCTTGTTTAGCGCTCGTTCTGTGACAGATAGGTCTGTGGCTGCGGAAAATATACATCTGCAATTCCACTGTAATATGGTTAGTGAACCTATTTTGACGACAGAACCATCGCAGAAACTGCTTGGTCCAAAATGTCCTTTCGCAAGAAGTCTTTCTTAGACATGTTCTCAAAGAATTCCTTTTTGGATAGATACTTTTTAGATTTCGAATTATTCGAAAGATTTTTTGATTGGGGAGATCGGGTTCACTTCAGATTCTTATGAGAGTCCATATCCATATCTGCACATGCTTCTGAATCATCCGTAAGATCACCGTCTTCCGTTGTTTTTGAAGTCCCTGCCTCAGCAGAAACCGCTCGCTGACGTGTTGTTGCACTTTCTATTTCCGTACGCTGCGATACCAATGATGTCTGAGGATCCCAATCGTTCGTAGATGCTACACCTAGAATTTGAGATAGTTGATTGGAAACCAATTGTGCCAAGCTTTCAAAAAGGTTGTTTGCGAGGCGTTCCATTGCCTTTTCCGTAGCCTTCTTTATGGCCTCTGCGATAGAAGTTGCGAGAGATGCATCCATGGCGGTGGTATTACGTGCTGCAACACCTGCATATCCTTTGGATCTCTCCTGCATTTCTGCAACGGCTTCTCTGCGAGAGCACCTCTTGCGTTCTACAATATCCAATATGGCAAGCTCCCTTTCTTTTGCTGCACAGTCTGCGGAGTCTTCAGGGTGCGCCCCATTACATAAGCAGCACCTCTCTATCTCAGAGCTGCGCTCGCGGCTGTCATGATTTTCACCACACAGACGGCATCTAAGAACTGATCGGCACCCTCTGACGCTATGCCCATATCGCCAACATTTCAAACACTGCAGGGGTTTGGGGGAAAGTGGCTCTACCTTATAGATCAGTGGCCATGCCTTAATTTCGGAAAATCGGACTGTTCCTAAAAAGGTCACTATCACCAATTCCGTTGGGGATTTTATGTTGTCAATGGTACGGGTGCATCTGTATACTGAAATTACACCCGCCACCGAAAACAAATCGAGCACTTCTGCAGGTGTCAGGCTTGTGTCAACGCCGCGGACTAATCCTTTCGAGCATGCGAGGTGTGCCGGAATAAATGGGCTTACCGGATGCGCTGCGAATTCGGAACATTGCAGGAGCTCACGAATGCATTCCTGATCTGCGGAACAGCACAGGATGCCTCCGCGATTAAACTGGTGGACCTCAGTTATCTCCTGGAAATGCGAAGTGGCTTTCCGAAGCTCCACTTAAATCGCCTTTGGGTTCTTCATCGGAATACTGCCCCCATCTGTAGGTACCAGCGCCACAGGGACACTTCTCGCCCCACTGCGTAACAAATAGTCTATCGGCCAATCCTTGGCGGGAGTGGAAGCTAACCAAGGGGAGTGCCCTTGACGGGGGAAGAAAATGACATCAAGATCGAATGACTTGCTTCAGCTGAGAAAGACCGATACAGTTACCGGAAAATAACGACCTCTCAAAGAACAAAAAGGATACTGCCGCCCGATCCTGAGCCCGGGCAGCTCCTTCACAGTCGAGCCTCACAGTGCAGGTCCGAATGCTCCGAATGCACCAGCTACTGCTAACGTGAGGATATCGGCAAGAATGGCACAATCTCGTTCTTTTTCTCGTTCTCCTTCTACTGTGCATTATCTTTCTTTTCTTAGCGGTTTTCTTAGCGGTTTTTTTAGCGGCTCGTCGAGTCGACTAGCCAAGCAGCAGCTCAGATAGATCGTATCGTCTTTGTCCTCTTTCACTCATCGATCTCACCCAAGCAAACCATGTGGCAATATGGAAGGGCATATCAACAACAGTTTGTCGTGCAGCTCACAACGAAGATCTGGTCGTTGTAAGTTTTGAAAATGTCACGTGAGATGTATTTCGTCGTGTTCGAATCACCGCAGTATTTACATCGAACGCGATATTACTAAGTGGGTTTGGGCTGTAGTAATCTGGTGGTAAGAACGTCACAATATCCAACTGCTTTCGCTTCTCATGAAGCAGTTGGCCTGGATTCATAGAGTGCGATCTTTTCTTAGCGGTTTTCCGAATTCACGAAGTGTCTCGTGTCAAGTGAATGCTCTGTTTTTACGTGAACCTGACATTGCTAACAATATAGTGAAAGCTTAGAAGGGGCATTGATTAGTATCCCTTCAATTATTCTATTCGTTCCCAATCTGCCACCCATTTCTTTTCCGTGCAGGTAAATTTCTCTTATTAGGAAACCCAAAGAGATTCACCGAGATGTATTCTCAGGCAACTGTCAGTGACACAGATCCCAATGAAAGCCCTGACACTGGCCTTCCCTGTCGGCGAAACGTGCAAAGTGGACCTTTCAGCGTTCCAGAATACGCAAAAAGCACCATCTGCAGCGAAGGTACTGCCAGTTCGTCCTCGACTTTTGTCAACTGGCTTTCAGCACGGAGCCCGACCAGTCGCAACAGTTTCTCGACGTCGGCTGCGGCCCAGGCGACTTCACGCGGCGATGTACTGCTACCCCGGTGTCTTCCCTGTCGCAGAATTGTCGGCGTCGACTGCTCCAGAGATATGATTGAGCATGCTAGACGCAACTCGGCCCACGAGCAGCTTGAATTCGCAGTGCTCGACATATGCTCCGATGTGACGGGTTTTCTAGAAGAGTTCGGCCAGTTCGAAAGAGTGTACTCTTTCTTCTGTCTCAACTGGGTGGAAGATATCAGCGCTGCGCTGAAGAACATCAGCAGGCTTATGTCGTCTTCCGGCGAATGCCTCCTCGTCATCTGCGCAGCTGTGCAAATTATTGAAGTTTGGAATATTCTTGCGAAAATGGACCGCTGGGCGAAATACTCCAAGGTATGTAAAAAAAAGGGAGTGTAAATGCCTTGATAATATCGATACATAACAGGCGCTGCAACAAGGATGCATGAAAGAAAAGGACGAAGTTAGTCTTTGGTTGATGCTCGACTGGCGCCGTCTTGCTCGTAAAGTTCTGTGCATTGAGAATAGATTGATAAAGACGTTACTAGTAACCTTATTGGTGGAGGTGTGGGGTATCGATCCCCGTACCTCTCGCTGACGAGAGATCAATACAAAAGTTATTCTGAACTTTTACCAATGTAACAGTGCCAAATCCCAGCTTCTAATGTACTATAGCATCCGTAAAAGGTCCGTGAGTATCTTCTAAATCCACGTAAAAGTTTGATTTTGAGCCAGGTCGTAGAGATCGGGAGATACTAGGAACTTATGCAGAGCAATGCCGAAGTGAAATTTTTAAGGATATTGCGTCCAGAAAAATGCAAAATAGTGGCAGCTTCACTACCGCTTTTCAAAAATGAGTTGATGCATTTTTAAAAACAGAGATTCAAAAGTTTTTGCAGCAATATCTTAATCAGTAATACGTATCCTGACTGTTTTTCCTGCTTATATTGACGTGAAAACGCCATAAAACATGGTCGTCAGTCATCCCCATGTTTGCATATATTACCTATGTTCTGATTTAGTGCTCTTCATTCAAAATCAGCGTGTACTCGCCAGCCCAATTCATGATGCCAGTATACTTAAGAAAGCTTCTTTTTGTGTGAACTGTATTGTTCTACGTACTGAAAAAAGGTAAAATACTACTAGTAGAAATTTCTTGTTTTCGTTAACGTCCCATTATGTGATCAATGCTACAAAGTGTACAAAAACAGTCGACGTGATAAGTTTGGTAAAAGCTCTGACCCTAGCTTTCGCATTTCGATGACAAAAAGGGCCGGAAGCCCATGTACTTGACCGGTGCTAGAGAGTGCTGAAGAACATTAAATTGTTTACATTTCCGGAGTCCTCCACTACGATTAGTCCCCTAATTGCGTCTTTGTTTCGGCATGCGGAAATTTATGTGTTCTGATTATTACTAGACGCAGCTCACGCGTCGTGGCAGATTTCGGAAAGCTCGGCTTAACCTCACAGTACCTGGATTGTAACGGCGTCCTTTTTTTTTTTTGATCGCCAGACGCTGCTGAAGTTCATCCCAAAACACAAGACATGAAGGACAAAAGAGAATTGATGCGGTACATTTCTGGACTCTTGCGACAGGCCGACCTCTTTCCGACGATTATGGAAGCACTGTCATCCACCATATTTGACGGCTGGAGTGAAGAGGAGATCATAGGTACGGCCTTCTTTACAAAGCGAGAACATCACCATTCAGTGCTTAGCCACAGTGAATGGCACTCATTGGGACGTGGGCGACGATTTTCGGTACTAAAATTGTCTTCTTCTATAGCCTACAGTCTACCTTCTAATGTGAAGCTTCTATAGATGCTAGACTTGGGCACCCCGTTACGACAAAAAAAAACTATTTGTTAAATGCGTGATATTCTAGTTAAGAAAACACAGTCAGGGTAAGTATAGTGCACTAGATTTAACGTGTTAATTTCGTGAAACACCGTAAGGTGAAAATAGGTTTTGAAAGCAAATATTGGCATCCTCGCATTGGAACCACCAAGCTCTGTTCACGTGAAGTAACTACATAAAATAGGTTTTTATTTTAATCAGTCCTGGCAAAGGTGTCCCAACGCTTTTGTAACTGTAATGTCTCGGGCAAAATATGCAATGCCTTTGATTCGCACCCGCCTGAATGGTTGATTGGGTGCGTTGATGATACACGATGGAATGAAATACGAGGAGATGCGAGCCTTGGATAGTACCTGTTGTTTTAGATTGGACGACCCAATAGGCCGAGGTATTCATCATAAACTGACTTTTTGGAATGCTAATCAATGGCAGCGAAAAGACATTAGTTTGACTTCCTTTGGCGATGTTCGCGCCAACCTAAACTGCTCAATGCAAAATAGAAAAGCTCTTAGTGATAATGAAACACGGAAATTCTGACTTTCTGGTGCAACTGTCCTGCACACTGAAAAAAAAAAGAACACGTACACTATTCCAGGATTAGCCAGCTGGACAAGATTTTATATTAATCTGGGATGAATAAATGCTTTTGAGCCAGGTGAAGACAAGGCAATGGCGCTTTCTTGTACCCCTCTGTGTCAAGTGGCAATCATTTCTATATAATCGTGGTGCCAGTTCGTATGTATGTCATGCTATATATACAAATGTACTCTATTGCAGCTGCGTATCACGGTGTTTGCCCAATTTCCCATCTGGTCACTTGCGAGGAGAAACTTGTGTTGGATACTTTCTTCAGAGACCAATTCCGCAAACTGCACGCTCCTGAAGCTGGCAGGGGCCACTACAGGATAATCGTAGTCAAGGCATCAAAAGCTCCTTGCTGAGGTCCACGATGTAAGTCCGAACGAGAACACGACACCATCAACTCTCGTAACGAAACTGGATGTGTGACGCAACTGCACTAGCATAGATGACAATGAAAGAGAATAAAAGTTCTTGCTTTCCGAAATAAGTGTCATGGTTCTGTCCCTATAGGAAGATGCTAAAAGTTATGCGCGTGTCCTAAGCCGTATCAAGCACATATATGAGGTCGTACCTGGCCAAGGCCCTCTCCAAATGCTCACTCAAACGAGCGCTAAAAGTGTTTGAGAACGTTGCGGTGCGCAGGGTTCTATATTTATTACAGCTTGCACTGTAATCTAATTACAGCTTGCACTGTAATCTGTAATAAGTTTGCACTTTGCACTGCAAGCTTATTGCAGCCTACACTTTGGTTGGTTAACTCCGACAGTGCACAAGCTTCCCCATGGCAGCAAATGTAAAAATGGAATAGGTACTTCTTTTCAGAACGATCTAAGTTTCCTGGGGAAAAGATGCGAAGTCAACAGTTCGTAATATACAACACGGATGCTTTATGGGTGTCATCGTTTCCAAGAAAAAAGACTTGTGTGACCTAGTACCTCACAAAATAACAGGACAGGTCCTGATGCTTGAGGACATGAGACATTTTAACGCCTACCTTAAAAGACAGAAGAGGGGTGAAGAGGCTCTCACACGAAGGTTTCGATGATGCTTCATAGCTCTCTTGAAGGTAACTGGTTCAAACGTGTTTGCACATCTACTATGGATTACAGCTTGAGCCATGGCACGTTTGGTATATATCTTTTTTTTACATCTTGATACGATAATAAATCAGCGTATCATGAGTGTCTGCACGTTTTGTTCCCTAAACGTTAAAGACTTACTGAAGCATCATAATATTATCGCCACTGCCCCGTAAATATCACCTACGTGTTCCACATTTCCGTGCAGTTGCATTATTCTACTTGCAAAAGTGCATTCAGTTGTCCCACATGCCCCTGGTTGCGCCAATATGCTGATCGTAGTGGATTATTATACATTATTTCTTGCAAAGTATAACTTTTACTTTGTTTCTCTTCAGCTCGCTTTTCGTTAATGTTTTATTGATAATTTCTAGAATTAGCATTGTTGAAATCTTAATTATGAAAGTCTTCTAAAGCCTTACTCTATCTGGCAAGATTATAACTAACACAAAAATATTTTATGTATACCAATACTTCCTGAGTGGGGTATTTCCGTCCCGGAATCGACATCGAAGATATTATGCACGTGCGCTGAACGTAAAAGCTGGGGAAATTGGGGATCGGCGATTCACCTGTGCTTCAGCGTGGAACACGAGCAGCGTGTGTTGGTGGGTCAGATGATAAGGCATTTTTGTGTGAACTCAAACAGCGCTATGGACGAGGCACCGCAGGGAAAACAGGCAGAACAAACGCAGCTCTAAATAGTTTGTATAGTAACAATAAATAGTTTGTATAGTACCAGGTGCTATATTTATTGGTAACAATCTGGTAGAGGTGCTGGGTATGATTCCAAGCCCACCACAGACAAGGGAGAGAAGTCCGCATCCCAGAAGATTGGAGCCAGCAGAATTGACACCTGTGCACTAACGCACGAGTCGCCGACTACATGGTGAGCAGCCCGAGTTTGGCCTCTAATTGATCCAGCAAGACCTGTTGAGACCTCAAGAAGAAGCGTCACTGCGATGGCCACCCAGTCGATGCCATCTCCATCTCACCTCATCGTGGATTGACCACGTACACCAGAGGTCTTCCACGGTGACACCTTTGAAGATGCCGAGGACTGGCTCGAAGGCTTCGAGTGCGTTGCACGTTTGAATGGTTGGGACGAAGCTCGGAAACTTCGTTACGTTTACGTCGCCCTGCAAGATTCGGCACGTACGTGGTTTGAGAACCACGAAGCGTCCTTGCTCGTCCCACGAGAGCTAATCGCAACCTATCCGAACACGGACCGCAAAGAGAAGGCAGAGGCTGCTCTTCAGGCGAGGAACCAACGGAATAACGAGAGCGTGGCCATGTACATAGAAGACATGTCACAGCTTTTCCGCCAAGCCGACCAAAACATGGCCGAGGAAAAGAAGTTGCGGCACCTAATGCGCGGAGTAAACAAAGAGATTTTTGCAGGCCTGGTGCATAATCCACCGCGAACAGTGGCGAAGTTGCGGTCCGAGGCAACAACTATGGAAAGGACACTACAGGAACGTGCGCGACTCTACAACAGAGACGTCGGCGTCTCTTCTTTTAGGGCGGAGTCAACAACCCTCCCCACCAACGTTGACGTCCTCCGGGAAATGGTGAGAGCTATCGTTAAGGTGGAGCTCATAGTGACTTGTGCTCACAGCTCCGTAAAGTCAGAACGCCCTATGTGGGACTTTTGTTGCGTTGTACAAATAACGCGCTGATTCAACCTGACGGACAGTGTACGGCTTGCGTTTCCATCGATGGCATGCGCCACCGCATCGAGATGATTGTTTTGCCAACGTGCATTCATGAACTTATCTTCGGTTGGGACTTCCTACATTCTGCTTTCGCTGTTATATCCTTTACAGAGAGCGTCATTGACATACCGGATACAACGGATGCACCCATACCAGTTTTGTCACCCTCGATCTCCAGCTTGGTTATGTTGAAGACTGCGTCTTGCGTCCTGGTCACGAACACGTGATTGCTGTCGCATCAACCCAAGTAGCCGACGGTGATGCACTAGTGGCTCTTTCGTTTCACTGCACTTCCCGTGGAATTTTCGTTGCCTCTTGCCTCCTCCGGTTTTCCTGTGACCGTGTTTTTCTGCCCGTTCGTAACACAACTGCAGAATCTATGCTGCTACCGAAGGGGGCAAAGATCGACGCCTTTCCACTGACTTCCATCGTGGTACTCTGGCCGTCTTCGTCACCAGTACCAGCTCCAGGTTCACGTCCTTTCTCTTTTAGAGCTGTCATTGGTTCAGACATCACACTTGAACAGTGGGAAGCGCTATTGGGCCTTTTAGCTAAGCACAAAGCCTGCTTTGATAGCTGTGCTACAATACATTACTGAGTCAGACTTCCGCGGCTTTGCACCGGATTGAAACCGACGGTTTTCGCGTGATACGCCATCGGCCATATCGCGTTTCGCAGTCAGAGAGAGAAATCATTGAAAAGGAGTGAACTACATGCTATCGCGAAGTATAAAATGGCCTTCTTCGAGTTCCTGGGCATCTCCAGTCACATTAGTTAAAAAAAGAAGGATTGCTCTGTTCGTTTCTGCATTGACTACCACGCGTTAAATAAGATCACACGCAAGGATCTATATCTTATGCCCCGAATTCATGACGCTTTAAAAACACTGCAAGGGGCGAAAAAGTTTTCGAGTCTTGACTTATGATCAGGCTACTGGCAAATCCCCATAAACGAGGCTGACAACGAAAAAACTGCATTTGGTACGCCGTACGGCTTTTATGAGTTTAATGTAATGCCATTCGGTTTCTGCAACGCTTCAGCCACGATTGTGCACATGATTCATACTGTTCTTCGTGGTCTAAAATTGAAGACCTGCTTCTGTTACTTACATGATATTATTGTTATTTCATCTACCTTTGCCCAGCATCTTCAAAGATTAGACGAGGTACTTAAATGTCTTTCCAAGGCTGGCCTTCTGATAAGTACGAAAAGTGCACATTTGCCAGCAGAAGTATCAAAGTCCTCGGTCACGTCGTTTCCAAAGACGGAATCCAACCAGATCTTGAGAACATCGCAGCTGTGCTACATTTCCCTCGACCACCCAACCAAAAGACGTTGTGCAGCGTTCTTGGTCTCGCGTCTTATTTTCGTAGCTTTATACGCAACGTCGCTACCCTAGTGGCTCCGCTAAATGCGTTATTGTCCACTGGTGCTCCTTTCTCATGGTCCGACGACTGCGAGTCCGCATTTGAAATTTTGAAAGAATGCCTGACATCCGCACCAGTGCTGCGCCCACTATACTCCACACTGACGCAAGCGCACAAGGCATTGGAGCAGTCCTCCTGCAGCATGATCCCACCTCTAAAGATCAGGTTGTAGCCTACGCTAGCCGGACTCTATCAACAAGTGAGCGTAATTATGCCATCACGGAGCAGAAGTGCCTGGCTATCGTCTGGTCGATACAGAAATTCCTCCCGTACCTCTACTGTCGGCACTTCACTATAGTCACCGACCACCACGCACTGTGTTGGCTCTCGTCAATGAAGAATGTGTCAGGACGCCTAGCACTCTGAGTACTGTGCTTAAAATAGTGTGACTTTACCATCGCGTAAACGTATGGCAAATATCATCATGATGCCGACGCGCTGTCCCGGTGCCCACTTTGCTCTCTCTTAACAATACGTCCCCCGCGTCGTCTTCGAATGACTCTGACACCCAGCTTGCCTCACAACACGTACCGCTCGCCTCGCTTGACCCATTGAAATTGTCTTCGAGCTCCGATTTACGTTGACTTCCACTGGTGGATTCCTACTGTCGGGCTCTCATTGATCGCCTTCGTTGTGTCACTAAACAACCCAACAGCCGCTGGCGATGCCAGCTTGGACAGTTTCGCCTTGAGGACGGTGTGCTCCAGCGCTACATTTACCATCCCACCGGCAACAAATGGGTCCCAGTCCTTTCCTGCTGCCTTCGTCTTGGAAGCATTCCACGATGATATTGCTGTCGGGTCATCTAGACTTCCACAAGAACTATGATGGCATCAAGACGCACTGCTTCTGGCCTGGCTTGCCCACAAAGGTGGCCAAATACGTGGGCTTGGGCGCGTCGTGTCAGCGCCGTAAGCGATCCACAACCCCACCCGCTGGTTTGATTCAACCTCTTCCCTGTCCGACAACACAATTTGAATTTGTCTGAATAAACTTGGATGATCCTTTGCTGCTGACGTCTTCCGGTCACCGTTGGATCGTCACTGAAGTCGACCATCTAACAAGATAGGCCGAGACTTCACCTCTTCGTTCTGCTACCGCCACAGAAATTGCTGAATTTTTCTTGCACTTCATCGTCTTGTGTCATTGAGCCCCTCACGTTCTTTTGAGTGACCGTGGCAAAGCCTTCATTTCCAAGGCCCTCGAGGAAGTCCTGCTGGCGTGAAATACAACGCATAAAACCACTTTTACTTACCATCCGTAGACGAATGGGCCTTACCGAGCACTTTCACCGAACGCTCTCTGGCATGATATCCACGTATTTACGTCCTGGTAAAAAAAAACATGGGATAACATTTCACGGTTTCTCAATTTCTCCTACAATACTGCGATACAGCGATCAACTGGATAGAGCCCTTTCTTCTCTCGTGTATGGCCCATCTGCTTCCTCAGTCTTCGACACGGCATTCTTCTTTGCATCTGCTCCGAGCTTTACCACGCTCCCAGAAGAGTTCACAGCCCGAGCAACGCACTGCCGTGAAAGCGCTCAGAAAAACACGGATAGCAACCGAGAAAAAAAAAGAGAAAACGTCGCTGCGCTAGCAAACGACGTGACGTGACCGTTAATCCTGGCGATAAGGTTTTACTACGGACCCCGGATTGAGCGTCAGGGCTTTGTGAGGAATTTCTTCAGCGGTATTTTGGATCATACACCGTACGGCAGACATCCCCAGTTAACTATCTCGTCACCCCACTTCGGTCCGTCACTGACCACCGTCATCGGAGCACGGAAATCGTTCACGTCTCGCGTATACGAAGCCTTTTATTACTCGTTCATCTAATCTCTCAGTGGCGGCTCGAAAAGGGGGGAGGGGGCGGAAGAATTGTAAGCACATTTCAAGCACTCCATCGTCCTCAATTGTACATACGCATCATCATCGTCCCTTCATGTTGGTGTTCTGAGCCGAGAGAGACATCGCCGAATGAACGCTTCTGCTCACCCTGCCTGGTGAAGTCTGACTGCGTTTTTCAATATTTATATGGTGATTGAACACATATGCAGCTGTTTAACGCATGTCTGCGCGTGCATTCGTACATACCTTCACACATGTTCGCAACATCTCGCTCAATAAAAAAACTACTACACAGTCACGTTACATGTGCAAGCTTCGCACAATATCGGCTTCAAAGGTACGCGAGACCTGCCGAGCTTTGTTTTCACGCTTTCTTTTTTTGTGTGTGTGTGTGGTTGGGTCGGTATGATGACGTTTGTTCGTAACTACGGCATTTTGTTGTGTATTCTGATGCTGAGATCTCTCCCACCTAAATTGTGATGTTGTGGTGCCGTTATCAAAATTTGTCTCGCGTAGTGCCTCCTTACTGTCTCAATAATGCAAAGAACGGGGTTGCTTTGCGTCTCACAGCTATTGCGCATTGATGATCTAAAAGATATCGTTGATGTAAGCTTCACTTACTAAAAATGAAACTAACTTTTATGCAACTCGCATTATCTGAACCAGTGCAGCGCCGGTGCAATGCTCGTTGCAATAGAACTAAATCATTTACGTAACGAAAGATATTGTCACGTATTCATGACGTTGACAAAGGTAGGAGACGGTATGTCCATGATTAAACTTTTTATTTGGTCTAGCTGCAAGGTGGCTAAAAAAGTGCAGCTCATGTTATAGCAATGCATTCTGTGGCATTGATAGCGATAAACAGGACATCGGTTGTCTATCAACTAACAAGCAGTGATGGGCGTCTGCATTTTCACACGGGCTGCCGAATGTTCCAGCATTATCTATGGACATTACACGCTGTTACAAACACCACCGAACCCGGTCGCGGGATCGAACCCCGGCTGTGGCAGCTGTTTGTTCAATGGAGGCGAACAATGAGGCCCATGTGCCTAAATTTAGGCGCATAAAATAGAACCACAGGTAGCCGAAATTTTCGGAGCCCTCCATTACAACGTCTCTTATATTCAATTATTATTATGAAACACCAATTGGAAAGAAAATTTTGTTTAAAAGAGAAAAATTCGCAGTCTTTTGGTAAGACGTCATATATCGTACAGTTTGTGGGGAAAATGGCCTAGAAATTTAATTTGTGCTGCAACTATTCTACGTTTCTAAGCCTTGAATATCTTCAAATTGAGACACACGATTAGTCAACCATTCTTCATCATTTCTTGAGTGATTTCTCAGAGGCAACCACAGGATGCTCTCCAAGCAGAGTTCCTCAGCGAGTGCTTTGATACCATTGACGTCGTTAGGCTAAAATTTCAACTTCAGCCTTCAGCTTCTACAGCTGAGACATGGAGCTTGAAGTTTGTATTTACCATTTTGAATAAGCTTAGAAGATACGTCTTCCAGTTTGGCTTTAGTGCAAACTAGTTGCTAAATGTACTTCGCCAAGTCGACATCTGAGGGAATGGTTTCAGGCACGCAAAGTTCACAAAGTGGCACAGTGTGGTAGTTAAGACAGAACTATGTTACTCACAGCAGTCGCCTTCACTACATACGTCGCCCATGACAAAACGAAAGGCACTGACCTACAGGAGGGTCGGAAAGCGTTAAGGCAAGTGACTGCCGCTGCGAAGTGAAATTGAACGAGAAGTGGAACCACTTCGTGCTACAAAATGAGCTGGCGATTCTCGCAGTAGATCTATGCAGATGGTCTATAATCCGTCACGGATGGCCGTCACTGGTTTTCATGAAGAAGGCATAGCGGAAATAGAGCAGTCAGGCGATGCTCGTCGCAGTCGAGCTGCAATGGTCTTCATTACAACCATCATAATAAACCTCAAAACCATTGCATGTGTGATTCGTCTATATCATATTAAACAACAAGCTAATATGTATCATACAAAAGGCAGTCACAGCGAATACCACAGAGAATTACCACATGCCATACATATAGCTTGAGTTACATCCTCTCCTATTTTCGGTGAGAAGTCAGACAAACGTCTCCAGTGCTTTATTCAAATGTTTCTCTCTGACTTCTCATTGCGTGGCACAGAAAAAGGTTTCATTTGCGCACGTTATTTGGTGAATAAGAAAACTTCAATCCACGTCGTTGGTCAGCTAATCGGTCAGTCATTGACGAATCGCAGATGGAATGACCAGCACTTCATTTTTGAAATATACCTGTTTTATATTCAATATATATTGAGAAAGAAAGGGTGAATGATATAACTCATTGGAATGACTAAGGGAAAACATTGATAATGTAACAAAGCATTATGGTTTATAAGGAACTAAATTTAGCATGCCCTAAAAATTGAATATAATTAAGTAGGGAATGATACTTCCCCACACAAAGCTAAAATGTTTACGAAGAAGTGTTGGCGCTTGTTACGGGGATGTATAAACACAACACGAATATACGCTTAATCGAATCTAGATGCCAAATTACTCATATCAACCCACGGGGCTCTGATAATTCGGGTTTTTCTCGCCATTACGCCACTGGCGTCTCGTTTGTTATTAGGGAACTTTCGAATGACGTAGGTAAAGTTAGCGGGCGTTGCGGGCGTAGCGTTTGCGTTCGTCACTCTACGGGAGCCCGCAAGAGGTGTGCGTACGACGCATGTGCAACGCAAACAGCAAAGCCTTGACTCGCGCTCTTCTAAAACTCTGCATTATCACCAGTGGCCGTTCGTTGCTGCTTCTGCCGACGGTTCGCATGGCGATAAAGAGGAACGTGTTATCGGCAGCGTAAACAAGGCTCTGGTCGTCGTCACGCCAACGCTGATAACTATAAGGGCAAGTCCAGACACACACAGCAGCCGCTCGACAAAGGTCGCCAGATAAAGACACTCGCGCCACCTGGATACAGCGCTAGGGGTGGTGTCTGTGCAGTAGACATGCCTCCTGAGATTTACTCTCACGCTGTTTTTGGATTCTCTGAACACCTTGACTGGAGCACGCTGGACTTCGTCCAACCAATCGATGACATCAGGGTGTGCAGCGCATGCAGAGTTGTTGCCAGGAAGACGGCCTTCCTAGCGTGTCGCCATGTCCTATGCGAGCCTTGCTATGAGCAGTGGAAGTCTAGGGGCAGCCCCGTTTGCTTCCTCGATGGCGACCTGTGTCCAGAAAACGAAGTCCATTGGATGGAATTTCCGGTGGAGAAAATGCAGAAGAATCAGGTAGGAGACAGGTATCACTTGGGTATCTGTAATCAGCTCGCGCGCTGACGTTCAACTGTTTTACTGTATAACAAAAAGAAGTAGGGTCGGGAACTCAAACAGCGGAAAACCTCCACGTGGCTGCTCTGTAACTAGGAAGGGAAAGCCAGACCTCTTTTCAAGCTCTAACGCGAAAATATTGACGTCTGCAGATCAAAACAGACATTTTTGTGGAAGCCTTGCTATCTCAAACTAGGCTTAGATAAGATTTCAAAGAGGAAGTGCTTGAAGGAGTACATAATCGAAGAAGCTTTAATAGTAATGCTAATAGTTAAAAATCATTAGCGCTCAACGTCACGTAAGCACGATATGATTGTGACGGATGCCAAGTAAAGGGCTTCCGAAATGTTGACCACCTGAGGCTCCTAGATATGCACGTAAATCTAAGTACACCGGGTTCAAGCGCTTCTGCGTGCTTTGTAAATGACGTGAGAACAGTACGGAACTATTTAAAGAGAAGGACCACCAACCCTTTCACAGGAGATAGATAGATAGATAGATAGATAGATAGATAGATAGATAGATAGATAGATAGATAGATAGATAGATAGATAGATAGATAGATAGATAGATAGATAGATAGATAGATAGATAGATAGATAGATAGATAGATAGATAGATAGATAGATAGATAGATAGATAGATAGATAGATAGATAGATAGTAGATAGATAGATAGATAGATAGATAGATAGATAGATAGATAGATAGATAGATAGATAGATAGATAGATAGATACCAAAAGTATGCTAACAGCTGTGTTGATGGTCCCGTGCAAAGGATCAGCAATCTTCTAATAAAATAAAGTCTGTGGGAGTGCAGTTGGTTAAACGGTTTAAACCAAGCTCTTCTTCCGCCACGTTTTGGAGATTAATACGGTAGCGTTTTCAAAGCTTGTCTTAGTGGGCACCATTTTTCCAGGCTGATTTTAACATCCGTAATACGTATAATTTCGGTTATTACTCGTGGTTGCGTTACATTGCAAACACGCTGCTTTCTGACGTTAGTAGAAAGAAAATTTTACACGCAGCTTTGTGAACTGGACTGCAACAAATGCTCTCTCCACATTACTAATGTTCGTTGACTGGTTAGTTTTTGCTGAAGTATCTGGCACTCTACACCGCTTGGAACGTCCAAGAGGCGCATGTCATTTTGTTTTAGAAAGCTAAATCGAATATATTATAATTATTGTAGCTTTATAAAGTTTCGCATTTCCTTATGGACACAATCAAAGAAAAATAGAAATGCATTATGAACCATTATGGTTTATAAACTGAACGGCGGTGCTATGCAATATCGCCCGAGCTTGGCGAAACTCGGGATCTTTCCGAGCTCTGTTGACGCCCCCTTTCGAATCAGCCAACCGTGCATAAAATTCACATCCACCCCTCAGTGCGCTGCTTTTTCATTGGTTACGATAAAACCCACCGTCGTATCAAGGACGGGCGACAATGTTGGGTAGAGTTTTCAAGCCAGAGGCGTCTTCTTTCATTAGTTTGTCGTTCCACTGAGTGCAGAAGTGCACCAATGCAAAAAAAGTGTCAGAAGCTTTTCTTGGTGTTTTTTTTTTAAAACGGGCTGTTTAAATTCATTTTGAAGCTTTTAATGTCCCCACTACGTCTACTTTAGAATAATCAGTCCGGAGGCCTCTGACATTCATTCCGGTCGAGAGCTTCACAACGTGTTACAACGCGACTGTAGCGAAACCTGACGTCCTGTGTTAATCACCATGGTCGGCCTTTCAGATTCAAGCGCGCTTCTCAACTGTTGCGCGCCCTTTTTGTCGCCCTCATCGTTCGCTAGCACCCGAGCGGGTGTGGCCACCTAATTAGCTATTGGCTGGGTGGTATACGTGGCCAGTTAGGCCTGGACATGCTATGACCAAGGTAATTAGGTCAAGTCGGGGTAAAACCGAGGTATTTGCACCGAATTCTAATAAGACCCTAGTAATAAAGCTATGTAAAACTAGAATCGGGCTAACATGCATACCTAAATTATGCTAATTAAAACTATGTTAATTAGGAGCATGCCAAGTAAACCATGCTAACTAGACATCACTAATATGATGACAATTGGTATCGTTTACTTTTAATAGCTTTATACTAATGATATCTTTGCTAATTACCAACGTAGTAATTAGTGACATTTCAATTGAAATCTTACCAGTTAAGATAAGTTAGCTCACTTTTGTCCACTAGGCCCATGGTAATTAGGTGTAATGAAAACTAAGACAGAGCTGATGCAGCCTTCACTTCGAAGCAGACCAAGCAGGTGATCATTTTACAGTAAGGTTAAGTAGCGCAATTTTTAACATGGACAACAGGAATAAGAAGGAGACAAATGAACAGATGAGTAGATTTCCGAAATAAAAGGCTGGAAGAAACTAGGTTGTCACATCCTTCTCTGTGGCAGTGGAAGATGACCCAAATATTTTATACGCACAGAAGCTGCTGCTCAGTGTCCAGCGCATCAAATGCTGAACAGTTATACAGGCAACGTGACAGTCACGAATTAAACTCGTGCCTTTTTCAGAATCAACGAGTTCGTATTCGAGTTCATGCGTCAGACAGTTCGACTGACAGACGCTTTACGGCCAATATCTGATCCACCCGCCACTTGTGCTTCTGCCGAGGGGCAGTGCACGATTCGTATATCAGCTTTCTCGCACCGACTATGCCCACACGCACGCAGAAGCAGAAATTACATCATGACGTGGCTACTTTGTATCGCATTCAATTTACCTGCCCTCACGACGTACTGACTCACAGCCGTGTTGTCGCCACGATGCGAGCGCCCCTGGTGAAAACCTGTCCTTCATATTTATCTGCAATATTTGATAGAAGTGCTGAGTGTCCCTTTGCGTCCTTCGAGTGTGGAAATCTTCACGCTGCAGATGCAACGTAATAAACTTGCCCAAAAAGAACAAACGCACTCGAACGTGCCTGTGGGAGGCGCGTGTTGAGTTGGCAAAGACACAGCGCTACAATTAGGCTGACGGTTCTGCGCTGCTATAATGCTGACTGCGGACGGCGCTGACGTGAACGCACACAATCGGCGTTTCTTAGATAACCCCCGCAAACGCTCAACATGCGTTTTTGTCACCACGTGTGTTTCTTGTAGCCCTTTTTATCAGTGATGCTATCACGCACTTTACACTGCCTTCGTGCCGTGGCCACCCTGCAGAACGAGCTCAAAGACAACTTGCCTGCCCGAGAAGCTCGGACCATCCTGCATAGCACTCCTGTAAAAAGAACCTCGAAATTTATTTCCGTTAGCTTCACGTAGTGAATCACATAAGAAACTGCAAACGTTCCTAGCGTGAGTTTTAGTCTGGCAGTACTAAATCAAAAAAGAACAATCGGAAGTGAGAAAGTTGGGCGAATATTTCCGCATGATTCTTTTAGCTATCCTTCTTTAATTTGCAAACATTTCGCTTCTCTAAATATACCAGACAGAGAGCTCAGTCTCATTGCAATGAAGGACGGTGAGGACGTCTGCGACAGAGCAGACCTGGGAAACTTTGAAGTTCAGCGGAGAAACTCCTGGTGGTGTTCATGTATGCATCTTTTTCATCTCCTATGACAGGTCAGCTGCTGGAACAGGAAGAATGGTTGCGAGATCATCACTGATGTCTCAAGCATAGCTGGAGCACTTCCACAGAGACTGCGCCTACCACTCCACGTGCTGTCATAAGTGTACCTCGACTGGTGCTCAGGAAAGACATAATAGCACACCTTGAATCACAATGTGTGGACTACGTCTTGAGGATAAGCTTAGTGACGTCACCGAGCGAGGGGCTGTCGAAGGAGCTAAACGACATTCGGGAAGGTGTCCGTGGCATGGAAATGGCATTTCGAAGCGCCTCCGACAACGATGTCTTGGCGGTGACAAGTTTTCGAGAAATTACAGAAACTGGCGTGGAAAATGTCGACCACCTTTGCAAGATATCGGCTGAAGTTTCTCAGTTTTCGCAGGTGACGAAGCAGACGTTGAGTGAAGTCGAACGAAGCAGTGAAGATTACGTGAGTGAAATTGAAGATATGAAGACATGCAAAGACGCTTTGTGCGCGGAGTTGGAGGAGATCCAGAGAGCCGCCGAAATGTTGGGGGCTTGCGAAAGCATAAATCAACAGGAAATAAGGGAGCGAGAAGAATGGACCGAAACATTGCAAGTGATCCATAAGGAAATTCAAAGCATATCAAACATACTGGGAGAAGGTATCTGTGAGTTGTTCCCTGAAGTAGGCGTACCCAAAAGTGTAGCCGTCGATGGTTTGTTTGAGGTTCGAAGCTACTACGCCCTACTCTCACTGGTCGCGTATACATACTCGCAATTTACTGCTACTTGAGGCGACGACCCGCGTTTTTGTTAATGCAAAGTATGTTCCTGTGAAAATTGTGTGGTGTCTGTGTGAGTGGGGATCCTTAGAGCCGGATTAAAGGCGACAGTCTTATTTCAGCTCGAACCTCTATTTGTTTTGATTATGGGTACTCTTTATATTTAACACTACGCAACGACTTAATACCCGACGAAGGGTTCACGGTATCTGTTGACTTTTGGAGGAGGTAATGCCCCCAACCCCTAAAAGCGTGAAGTTGTTGTTTATGAACAGAAAGAAAGGTGCCACGCCGTACGAGATTCATCTCAAAGAAGATGCGAGTACCTTTCGTTAGACAGATTTGTGTCAGATCCTTTAACTCTAAGTGATCTTAAGCGCAATGCAATCATTCAGGGCGACGTGCTTAAATGTGCTTCCCATTTTTGTATTAACACTACGACGTTACTGTGCCCATTGCTTCTATTGCGCTCATGAATATCTGTCACGAAACTACTAAGACTGATGCAACTGAATGTTGTGACAGCTGAAGCTTCTCTGTAATAACAAACAGCCTAGAACTAAGTACCTGGTTCCTTTGTTTTGAAATATGCAGTTCAACTGCCGATTATTTTATGAAAGAGCATACTGTTGTTACTCGTCGAGGGCATGCGACATGGTCGCCTGCAATAAAGCTTGTTCCCAAGTTTGTCCGTAGACTGATGGCTTTAATTATTGATGTCGCAAGAAATAAAGTATTCTCAAACTTGTCTGTTTACGTGAGCTTCTTTTCTTAAGACCTTTTCCGTTTCTTTTATTATTTACAATGTCTTAACCACGCAAAGGCGTGCTGATCTATACTCAGGCCGACACCACTGTCTCCTTCTGGTTTTGAATTAAAAGAAGCTATGCAGAAACGCTTCTTAATGTTTGTCAATATAATTGAATCACCTATCCTTACAAGATTTCTGCTTTGTTGAAAAAGGCATTTTGCCGAGCGTATACGTTTGCCCCTGAAAGAGCATTTTTAAGGTATTTGCACTTGTAATGTAGTTCATTAAGGGGAAAGCCCTAGATGTTTCACCACATTCGAAGAGTAACCAACAGGGTGGAGTCAACGTTAAAGAGGCAAACGTCATCACTATGGGATTACTTCACTACAGGACATCCCCACGGTTTCACTGGTGACGTCATCGTGCGTCACTATGACGGGTCTTCATGAAGTGATGCTATGTGCTGACGTCTCCACATAGCATTGTCACTAGGTCAACGGTGGGCCGACCATCGAAGCACTGCAACATCGCATGAGGTGTTGCCCGAATATCCAGATGCTCATGGCTCAGGTGGCGGCGCTACACTGCGTGGGGCGCAGAAAATTTTCACATGCCGGTGAGGGGTTGCTAACCCATAAAATCAACTTAAAATATGCGGAAGATAGCTCAAGTCTTATCGTCACCTTAGGCAAATAAACAAGGGACAGGCGGAGTTCAGGGGAGAAGTTCCTTATGGCGTAGTCTTGTTTTTCGTTGTGGTCCCGGTATTGAAAAGCTTGCTATAGTCGGAACATCTGTGACTCACAAAGAATGTTTTTAGAATGAAATTCAACCTAGACATAGGCTAATCATAACGTAAAGGATCACTGTTCCCAACGAAAATAACGTGCAGGGAAGAGTGTTGTTGCGTTGATCCCTACTAAAATGGACCTATATGTTGAGGCTTATCAAGGAAACGTGTAAGGCTCATGCTGTCCCTAAGTCGATGCAGGTGACAAAGCTGCCATTAAGTAAGGTGGAAGGCAGCAATGAACAACGCTTGAGGCAAATTGTATACTTGAAGACCTGCCAAAATAAACTTGCATACAGAGTAATTTAAAATAAGGAAGGCCGCCGAGGAGCTGAGGTCTTGCGACACCGCAAGCAAAGGCGAAATGAGGAAAACTGAACAATACGCCGGTAAAGTTTTAGCGTTAAAAGAGGAAATGGACACTGTATGGGCCCGTTTAGCGAAAAGAACGTCTTCCCAATTATAATATCCACTAATTAGACCTGAAAAAACTGAGATGACTAATTACTCATCTATAAAAGTTAAACTTTGATGATTGGCGTTTCGCTCCGCATATGCGACTTGATTCAAAAATGATTCACTGATATGTGAGGTTTAACATTTCAAAACCACCATACGATCATGAAAGACGCTGCAGTGGAGCACTCCAAAAATTGCGCAATAGGTGTTAGGGCAGATCATCAGTGGTTTTGGGACGTTAAACCCCACATATCAATCAGGTGTTAGGGCAAGTCCAAGTGGTTGAAACATCCGTGCACGGTCACCAGATAGAGAGACTCGCATCTGCATTTGCCTGGATGCAGTGCCAAAGGTGGTGCCTATGCAATCACTTGTAGCCACGCCTCTAGAGATTTACTCTCAGGTTGCACTTGGATTTTCTGTAACCTTTAATGAATCGAACTGCACTTCGTGAAACCTATCGATGATATCATGGTGTGCAGAGCTTGCAAGGTCGTTGCGAGGAAGACCACCTTCCTACGTGCCACCATGTTCTACGCGAGTCCTGCTACAAGCGTTGGAATTCAAGATGCCTCCATGTTTCTCTCTTTGATTTTGACCCTTGTCCTTAACATGAAGTTCATTGGATGCAGTTTCCTGTGGGGAAAACGATGAAGAATCAGGTAGGGCACGCGCAACGCAGACTTTTTTATAATAGCTGCCGTGCAAATGATGCTCCATTTTGGCATATATATATTCGTGTCGCGCCAGTCTTTGCCAGCTGCAACACAAAAGAAGAATAGCGAGGCGTGGGACGCGTGAGCCACGATGTAGTGATACTAGAAAGAGCCCTAGCGCCAGGCGGAACGGATGCAGGCAGCCGTCCCCACTACGCTTTCATTCTGGCCAATAAAGTGGCCGCCTACGGCAGAGCACACCACACATTCCACACCTGCGACTGAGTCAACCATCGATTATGCCCACCTACGCACGAGCCTTCGTACGCCAACCACCGAAGGTACTTCCACGAGTCCATAAGCGCCAACTGACCCTCCTCCAGCAAGCTATCGCTCAGGCCGTCCTCTCTGCTTTTCCGTAAATAAACTTATCTCTCTAGAAACGTGAGATATCTGCGCACTGTCCGGGTGGCGTGAGGACTATGTTTTCTCTGGAACCAAGTAAAGTTTTTATAATCGTCTTTATCGTCATCAACCACTAATTTGAAGTTTGATGATAAATTGCCCATTTAAACTTAAGGAACTCTGATCGTTTGCGCTTACAGCATGCACACCCTACTTTTCAGTTGCCTTTAACACCAACAACCGTTCGTTCGGGTTTCCGCCGATAATTCTTGGCCTGCAACCTGGGAACGTGTTATCGCCAGGGTAAACAAGGCTCTAGTCGTTGCCCTGGCTACGCGATAGCTGTAAAAGAAAATTCAGGTAATGGCTTGAGCATTTGACGATGGTGGCCAGATAGAGATATTCACGGCTCTACCTGCGTCGACAAAGCAGGCTGTGCCCATGCAGTCATGCTTCCAGAGATTCATTCTCACGCTGTGTTCGGCATTTCCGAACGCCTCGACTAGACCACCCTGCACTTTATTAAACCCATCGACGACATCAGGGTGTGCAGCGCCTGCAGAGTTGTTGCCAGGAAGACCGCCTTCTTAGCATGTCGCCATGTTCTGTGCGAGCCCTGCTACGAGTGTTGGAAGTCGATGGGAAGCAACGCGTGTGTCATTGATGGCGACCTGTGTCCCGAAAGCGAAGTCCATTGAATTTAGTTTCCCCAGGAGAAGATGATGGACAATCAGGTAGGACACGAGTCGTACACGCTTTCTCATAAGCACCCAGTCATTAGCCTCTTCTCCGTTGTCCCCGAACGGTAACGGAAAATCAGAAAGATAAAAAAGCGAGTTCTTCAATACCCCACTCTGTAAACGGCAAGAAATATAGGACACATACACAGATATGTAGCTATTAGGTGATGTTCTGTCTCTTTTCAATTTATATAGGTGTGTGTGTGTGTGTGTGTGTGTGTGTGTGTGTGTGTGTGTGTGTGTGTGTGTGTGTGTGTGTGTGTGTGTGTGTGTGTGTGTGTGTGTGTGTGTGTGTGTGTGTGTGTGTGTGTGTGTGTGTGTGTGTGTGTGTGTGTGTGTGTGTGTGTGTGTGTGTGTGTGTGTGTGTGTGTGTGTGTGTGTGTGTGTGTGTGTGTGTGTGTGTGTGTGTGTGTGTGTGTGTGTGTGTGTGTGTGAAATATACATATGCGCATATTTGAGTTTGACTTTACGTGTTACATGGGCGTATGTGTTTATTCCATATATGAGTCAGGAATAACGACCTAGAAGAGATAGCAACCGCGATTGACCTTAGTAACAGCTCCGAAATTCAGAGAAAAGGTGTGCCTGCCTGCCTTTCTGTTTACCTGTCTGTCTGTTTATCAGAAGATATCATACGCCGTTCCTTTGAACAGATGTGAGAGTACTGCATTTTACTTTTAGTAAAACAGTCTGACGCATATATTTTTTTCCAATTCTAGCTATACGCTAATAATGGCTACCACATGCTGGAAGTCATATACGCCAGTAAGCTTTAGTAGATACGGATCAAAACACTTTCGTGAAAGCAATTACTTCTTATGTTCATCTTCTATAGAATCGTCAAGAGGGAGTGATTCCAGGGAACATAATGTGAAACATGACGGTTTCGTGTAAAGAGAGCGAAGCTACTGTTTCACATCATCTCAGCCGAGGAACAGGTTTAACGGATGCTACAGTCCTCCATTTTCTTCCTCCTCGATAATGTTTGTCACAGCGTATGTTTTCACACACTCTTCTTTCTTGGTGTTACGTTATCGGCCCCTTTTGTGTGTGGATACTACCTAGCCCAAACCGTACCAGAATGTCTATAGGAACATACCAGACTCCTTTAAGGTCGTTGATTCTGTTTGAGTGCACAAGCGCCGACAGCTGAGTTTTATTCTCGAACAAGTACGGCCACGAGCGAAAACGCTGAAATGTTCGATGTCACGTGTAATATTGCCTACGCGTCTTCCCGCGATCAGTTTTATCAGAGGCTGACTCTCTGCTCACCAATATTAGTGTACAGAATGCATTGCTTGCATGCAGTATGAGTTTTCATTTCCCGGCCACGAGTTCAGCCAAATAACAAGTTTCATTATGGACACGCCATCTGCAGCCTACGACGACATCATGACCCCATGAAAATATAGACAACACGCATGTTTATTTCGATTGCCACAATCTGTCACTGCTCAGAAAAACAATTTCTACACAACCCTTAATTACACTTCAAAAGCGAAGGAATCCGATCTCTCATTTTTCGCTCCGATGAGACACAGTAGATTTTCTGTTCAGTGAGGAGACAGCACTTATAGCGCACATGAAAAAGCGTCCTTCATCTGCAACTGCACATACAACTATACCTTATGTATAAGTTTATTTGTCTGAAACAACACCGCACGAACTTTCGCGCTTAAAGTTAGCAGTGAATGCAGACAGCGCGATCAATTCGTGTGAAACCAAAAGTGCGACTAGCTCTGTGGCACGACATACCACTTGTAAGAGTCCGCAACGGAATGCTGACAGGACTCAGATTCAGATTTCTTCGTTTTAGCATTTATCGGCAAACAAATGCTAGGACAGCAGCAAACAAGAAACAGATTTGCAACTTGCTGCCATAACGGCCGGATACATAGCTGTCGAGTGCTCTATGAGAAAAAAAGCTCTTGTAATGTGGGTACTTAAATGTTGCA